TGATCAATGACTTTGAAGTGATTGCACCATGCCACTCTGGCTTGTCAACTTATTTCACAAAACATCATTATTGATGATGTGCACCTGGACTGACGGTTGTGGTCTTGAATTTCCTATTGCCATGACTGGTTGTGTAGGGATGGTGATATAGTAAGATATATTTATGGAGCAAGCACAACCCCCCTGCCCTGCCCCCCACTATCACATAAAGGGGGACTACTGTACTTACAATAGAATACTGTGTTAAAAGAACCAGCCAAGGTGCCCCCATCTGGAAAAGTAGAGCAGGAATGAACTTATTTACCACAATGTATCTTCTTGGAACATGGTATGATGTTCTAGATAAAAACATTAAGGAGTACAGCAGAAAGGGAAAAGCCTTTTTGATTACCCCAAATTTGTTGTGGTTTTCTCCTTAAATGGTGTGGCTCATGTTGTATCTCCGCCAGCTGCTCTTCTAACCTCTATGTGAACGTTCCCGGCAACCAAGAAATGCCCATAAACCACCACGGGTCATTGCAAATGGCCTCATTTGTTTTCATTTTTTGAAGTTTTGTCTTATGATTTATATACTTTAAAAATAATTGAAATGAACATGAATCAGAACAAAATAAAATAATGAAAACATAAAGGATGATGAGATGTGGGAATGTCTAGGAATATCAGGAAACTATAGGACGGAGAGGCTACTGAATTCAATCAGAAGAGGTGATCCTGAGATTCTTGGAAATAATGGCAAAAGAGAAATGCAAAGACTTTTTTGTTCTAATGAAAGGAAGTGGATCATATTTCCAAGGGAGGTGAATAATCTCCTACCTCTGTGCTCTAGGAGGAATTATCATAAGGCTTTTATGCCATGCACATTTGAAAGGGTATAATGGACAGTGGCTTTTTGCCAGATATTTTACCAGAAATGTGAGGACGTTTCTAGTAACAGTCCTTAATAGAAACTCCACTCTAGGGGTTTTAAAAAAAACAGATAAATAGAACGTAATTGCTTCAATAAATCCATTTCCAGTTGTGCTGTCCCAGATGAAGGATGAAACACATTTATGGAGTTGGTTCCAAAGAAGTGAATTTAATTTTTTCTCTACCCCCAGGAAGATAATGGATGTCAATGAAAGATTTCCTGGTCAGTTCTATTGCAAGGGAAAGGAAATTCGCATGAATGAATCTTTTTTGCCTGGCCACCCCAAATCTTCTCTGGTTCTAGGGGCTTTCTTTTTCAGAGCACTATGAGGTAGAACTGGGGGAGGTTTTCAGCGGTGTCAAGGTTCAACTGAAGCTCTTGATGCAACAGTAGAAGTGAGGATCTGCAGAACTTACAGTGCTGCTCAGACGCAGGGATATCTCTTTAGGATCTCTTCCTCCCTTTTTATGACTCTTATCTTTTGCATAGAAGATGGACTTTTTTTGTCAAACAGTTTCATTATTGCAATTTTTACTGGAGTTTTAAAAATGATATCTAAATTGATCCAGGTATAAGTACATCAGGAGACATGATTACAAGTGCAAACAATTTAGAAGTGGACTCCTTTGTACATTGCAAATTCAGATAGTGGTATTTTCTAGCAGTTATCCAGCAGTAAATCAAAATTTTGAGATCTTGGTGCTATATTTTGAACCTTAAGTGTCTCCAAAGGTCTATGCAGTAAAGGGTGGCACTATCAGGAGGGCTTGTAGCCTTCGGGGACAGGGTAGAAGGTCTTCAGGTCATGGGGGGCATGTCTTTGAAAGGGACTGGGGGACTCTGGCCCCTTTCCTTTTCTCTTTTTTGCTTTCCAGCCATGATATGAGTGGCTGTTCTCTGCCATGTGCTCCCTACCCTGATGTATCTCAAAAGCAATGAGCTACAGGAACTGAAATCTCCAAAACCATGAGCCAAAATAAACTTGAGTTAATTATCTCAGGTATTTGTTATCATAACAGAAAGTTCACTAACATTCATGATCTGGGAGTGCCGGCATTTTGTTCCATTAATTCAAGAGATCCGTCTGTACCCTTTAGATACCTTTTAAGTATACTTGTTTTTAAGAGTATCCCATCTTTAGAGGGGACTTTCCAACCTCTATACAGAGCTGAGACCAAATAGGGCCAAGCCTTTGCTCAGAAGAATGGCTAATAACTGCTCAACAGTCTAGATACAGAGTAAGTTGGGAACTGAGAGTCTTGTATCAACATAAAATGGGAATAAAATCTATTGAGGGGCAGCAGCCACCAAGCAATAACATCTACAGAAGGAGTGAAAATAGAGAACTGTACTGAGCCGGACGGAAACTTGCACTGAATTAGATGGGAACAAGACCAGGAAGGAAGGCAGAGCCAGAGTGAGATGCAGGCAAAAGACAAACATTCACTCATGCATTTATCTGCTTACTCATTTGTCACACATAGAACATTTTCTCTCAATCCAAGGTTCTTCTAGAACCAGGCTTTCAGATCAGATCTGAACGACTCCAAGTGCTTGGAGTTGAGACCTGAGTCAAACAGAAAAGGGCAGGGAACAGTGGCTTGAGTCAGACTTACTGAGATATCTAAATGCCAGACTTGAACATTATGGTGATTGTGTAGGCAACAGAGGGGGGAAGACAGCACATTTTAAGTAAGGAAATGATATACATGGAGCTGGGCAGGAGTTTATTTGGAGAAGAGAACAAAGTTATAGAGTTACAGCTTGGGAGTAAAGTGGGGTGTTGCATCGGTCTCAGTAAAAGGTATTGATGGCTTGAACTAGAAGTAGGGATGCAATTGCTAAAGGGGAGAAGGTAGGAGGAGAAGAGGTTAGAACTTTGGGAAGCACTTATGTTGGAATCCAGAGGAGACAAGCCAGAGGAGAGCTTGGGGGAGGGATCAGAGACAGAAGCCCAAAGAGGAAAGACGTTTCCAGAATACACAAGCTGGTTCGTTAATTGTGCTTTTGTGTAACCAAGAAATATGAGGATGGAGGAATGGCTATTTCAATTAGATGTGTGGAAAGAGTTGGTGACATTAAGGAATGATAGATGAGGGAATGTGTGGAAAATAAAAAATGGAAATATTAAATGTATTCTACTCTTTTGACAGGAAATGAAGGAGAGCAGTTTAAGAGAACATCAAATATACACAGGAGAATTTTTTTGACAGAAAATCCAACTCAATGTTCCCATGTCTACAGGGACCTAGGGGCTATCTCAGACTTCAGACACGGACAAAGGCAGTGTTCAGTTCATGTCATGAGCATCTGTTGGCGTGAGCGACTCTGCTGCTTTCCTCTATGGTGGCTTCGTCTTCAGTTTTCCGCATGATGACAAGCTAGTTGTCATGGTTTCAGCTCCATCTCTTCCCAGATTCAACCCCAGTGATACCAAGGGGAAGACGTTGACCTCCTGCCCGAGCCTAGGTCCTGGAATCAGCTCTGGTTTGTCTTGGATTGATTGGCTTGACTAGAACCCAGGGCCCATTCCTGATGGAAACAGACTTCATTGACTGGTCTACACCTAGAGATGAAGTCCCCAGGGAGCACCTGGGCCAGGATGGAAAAGGACATGGCTCCTGAGAAGAAAATCAGAGATCTGCTGGTAGATAATGGAAAATGGAGGCCAGATGGCACAAACACAAGTCCAGACTCCAACTTTGAAATAGGGTAACTGAAGGATAGAGGCCTGGAACAGAAGGGAGGGAATGCAATCCAAATACTTGGATGGAATCAATTTTTGGAAGAAGGACACATTCTTATTTCTGAGATGGAAGTGGAGAAAATAATAAAATAGGATGCACAGGTATATAACTTGACATGGGAGAACCTATATTAAATAGCTTTAATTTTCAAGTAAAAACACAAGGGAAGGGAACATGTAATGTTATTTTCAAAAAAAAATAAGTTAAATTCATTGCAACAATTATAGTGCAGCAAGTATATAACAAACAATAACTGAAAATAAAATTCTACAGTTACATGTCAAATGCTTTTATTCATTACACTGCAGATACAAATCTTCATAAAGTTTCAGAATAAACTTGTTTACACATATTCTTTCAACATTTTGATTGAATACTATTTCAGAGAGTGGATGTATCCTAATTTACTTAGTCACTCTACTAAAAATGACATTTAGGTTGCTTCCATTTATTTTTTTTTTCATGCTGTAATTATTATACACTTAGCTCTTTATTTTTTCTTGAAGTGTTTCTCTGGCCCAGGTTCCCAGGGATGAGGTAATTGTGTGAAAAGGAATGAATATTTTGTGCCTCCTAAGTTTGTGGCAAAATGACATTTTATGAGATATGCACAATTGTTCATATCTCCAGCCATATATGAAATGGCTACTTTGATCACATGCCAAATATTTTAAATATTTTATTCCATAAGTATCTTCAAGATAACAGCTAACCAGCTAACATAACACGTTGGGCACTTGATGCCAGGTTGGGTCTGACACTTTATTCTATTAATGAATTAATTTTCACAATAATCCTGTGAGGGAAAAATTTATTATGATCCCTGTTTTCACAGATGAGGAAACTTGGATATATAGAGATGAAGTACATGTTCCAGGTCCCACAGGTAGGGGGTGGGAGAACTGGTATCTGATCCCTGGGAATCTGAATCTAGAATCTGCATATTCAGACATATTCATCTTGCCCTGTGATAACTTTTTATTAATGTTTTTCCATGTGGTGTTAATGACTTGTCTACATTGGTGTGAGAATTTCATCATGTTCTCTTCCAGAAGATTCTTTCTTGATGGTTCTGCCCCAGGCTAGGGGTAACAGTAGAATAACCTTTATGAATTCTTTTGTCCAAACACCTCAGATGGTCTAAATGGGGATATTTTTAAATAAATCTTGCATTTTTTTAACCTCTTGGCCATATGTAAGTTCAGAAATAAAAATTACTAAGAGTTAAAAATAAATGTGTTGTTTCACCACCCAGGATATTGTAGGCTTTTTTTACCCCCTTTCTTTTTGCTCTGATGGTTCTATAATCTAATTTGACCTTGCTGGTTTCTATGGAAACATACCTTCTGGATTTTCTTGAATATCTGAAATGTAGGCACTGCTTTAATGTGACAAGCATCAGCCAACTCCTGGAAAAGAAAAGAAATGGTAAGAAGTCAGAGTATTGCTGTCTTCTCTCTGTACCAGCTATATCACTTGTTGAATTATCAGGGGGTATGTCTTAAAGCCCAGGGACATCTGACACTTTTGGTTTTGGTTGTTGTTTGCTAAGGATTGCTACCATTTGAGCTACATCTTCAGCCATTTTATTTTTTATTATGAGACAGGGTCTCAGTAAGTTACCGAGGGTCTTGTTAAATTGCTGTGGCTGGCCTTGAACTTGCGATCCTCCTGCCTCGGCCTCCTGAATCCCTGGGATTACAGGCATGTGCCACCACACCAGGCATGCCTGACAGTTTATAAACTCTCCTGCCAAGAAATTTCCAAGCATATACTCAGAGCCTCCAGAAATGTGACAAAGGAGAATGAATGTTCCAGTATTCCTACGCTGTTCCATCCAAGAGCTCTAGAAGAAAGGAGAGAGACGGAGGCCAAAACAGAATGGATGCCGAGTGAATGAACTCTCTTGTCAAGGACCTTGTGAAAGACTGCAGAGGAGCCCATTGCAAAAATAGGAAGGAATAAAAATACCTTTGTAAGTCATACTGCAGACATGGAATGATGTATGGGTCTAGCATTTTAACACACATTTCTTTCTTTTAATACCTACACCCTCCTCACTGCTAATCTTTGTGAAAGATTTGGAGTCCAAAAGCAAGAAAATAGGCTGAAATCCCAATAGTCTTAATCCATTCCAAATTACTTCCAAGTAGTAGGATGGATTTCTTTTTCCTCTTGTTGAGGATGCCAAAGAAAATTAGCCATTCACAGGATAAACTGAATTGGACCTCTCTCCTTAATATAGCTACCTTTTAATTGGCATTAAATCTCTTTCCCCACCCTAAAGCAAACACTCAGACAGACACACATGTACACACAAACACAGTAAATTATAATTTTCATGACCATAGTAATGATACCCAATAAATAAATTACTATTAAATAGTGGTTTTTTTTGTTTCACCTTTAAAGATAGGAGCTACAGTAAAAAAAAAAAAGTCTGATAATTACATGTGTTGGCAAGGATGTGGAGAAGTTAGGACTCTTACTGTGATGATGGGAATATGAAATGGTGTAGTTACTTTGGAAACTAGTTTGTCCATTCCTTAGAAGTTAAGTGTTGAGTTACCACGACTTCAAAATCCCACTTGTAGATATATATCAAAAGAAATGAAAACTCAGGTTCATACAGGAACTTGTACATTAATTTTTATATTAGTATTATCTACAATAGTCAAAAAGTACAAACCCCCTAAATGTTCACTAATGGATGAATGGATAAATAAAGGTGGTATTATCCATATGGTGGATTATTATTATATTATTCAGCAAAATAATGTAGTACCAATACATTTCATAACATGGATGAACCTTGAAAATATGCTATGTGAAAGAAGCCAGTTGAGACCACCGTTTCTATGAATGAGCAAATCTATAGACGGTATGTAGATTTGTAGTTGCCTCCTGTGGGTGGGTGTGGTGCACGGAGGGAGGGAATTGCCGTGATTGATAAAGAGTATAGTGTTTCTTTCTGGAGTGATGAAAATGTTTTAAAGATGACTGTAGCAATGGTTGCACAAGTTTGTGAATCTAAAAAGAGACAAAGAGATGATGTTCCTAGCTGTGCTTTCTGAGTACACAGGGTATGATTCAGCGGAAACGGTAATTAAGTACTGTCACACTTTAATGAGGCTTAGAGGAAATGGAGAAGTGGAACTTCTATTACACACCAGGCACCATGCTATATATCATATGCATTTTTTCATTTCTAATAGTCTTTGTCATATTTAGCAAATAAATAAAGTTTGTAAAGGTTCAACCTCTACAACTTCAACCTTTAAAATGCTGAACAGCGAATAACATAGTTTTTCATCCTAAAGCTTATTCGGTCTAAGGTATTTATAGACCACTTGTTATTGTTATTACTATAGTTTGGATGTTGAATGTTCCTAAAGGCCTACATGTTGAAGACTTGGTCCTGGGGTGGGGTTATTGAGAGGTGATGAAACCTTTAAAAGGTGGAGTTGAGTGGGAGATCTGTAGGTCAATCCCCCTTGAAGGGGAGTGTGGGACCCTGCAAATTCTTCCTTTCTCTATTTTTGTTTCCTGGCAATGAGGCAAGCAGCTTTGTTCACCATGCTCTCCCACTAGACCAAAGCAACAGGGCCACTCAATCATGGACTGTGGATTTTGTGAGCCAAAATAAACCTTTTCTCTTTATAAGTCTATTATCTCAATTATTTTGTTATAGTGATGGAAAGCTACACAGTTATTTTTCCTTGTTATAAGATACCACACACACACATGCACACAAAATTAAGAAATGGGAGGAGAAATAATTTTGCAGAGATATTATATAGAGGCAAATTTGGGTTGAGCATATGAGGCTGATTATTTTGGGTGGGGTGGGGTAGGGCAGGATGGTTCTAGAGATAGGAGGGAAGAAATCCTGGAATCTCTTGTGATCTTTAAGAAAACCCACAAAAAAGCACAAGATAAAGTAAGAGGAAAACAAGTTATAATAAGATGTTTATAATATATTCAGTTTGGTTTTAGAAAATGATCAATAATTTATCACAAGATGGACATGAAATTATTTTTCAACATGGACTTAATTCCATTTGATTGGTGTTGTTTTCCTGGGGCATCTCTGCTGAAGAAGATTCTGGGGCAGAATTTAGGGCAAGTGGTGGAGAACGTTGGGATTGATTAGTGAGGGCTGCCACGGTATAGGGGTGGGATGGGGCAGCAGGAGGAACACATGTTTGCTAATTTAAAAAAAAAAGTAATAAAAGACATATAAGAGCATTATGTGGGAATTTACTATGGTTTATTTTTAAAAAGTGAAATTCTACTTGATTCTACTTTGATTATGTAATCATGGAGACAATGCTACTCAATTGCAATGCAAATGGTTGTAACTCTCCACAGGTTGAGGGTAAGATTCTTACCGGAGAATCGTCCACATCCACGATAGCAAACCTTACGTTTTGGTATTGTAGAGGCATGTCCTTAAAAATAAAAGAATAAAGATTCCCCATTAGCTTTGTGCTCATATTAAAGCACACATTAGAGGTGTCTAGGTGTCTTTCGGCAAAAACAAGAAATGAGCACCAAGTTGTCCAGGCGAGCTAAGCATCATTCCGGTGTTTTACTACTGCCTACAGCATGAAGCCCCATGTCAAATGCCAGACTGTGCCAAGGTGAAGAAAGGATCAAGGGCAGAAGCTGAGTCCAAAGAACCAACCTGATGACTAACATTTCAAAGCTGGAAAAGGGACAGACACAAAGCAAAGCAACAGTGAAGCGTCTTTGTGGGTGCAGACCTACCCCGCAGGGTCTGGGGAGGGATGGGGGCTTTTTCCTGGGAGCAGGTGGAAGGACACTGTGTTCTTCAGGATGCAGTTCTCAGCTGGAGGTGGAGCCCAGTGGTAGAGTGTTTATCTAGCTTGGTTGGGTTTTTTTTTCCTTCCCCGGCCCCCCTTTTTTTTTTTCTAAAATCCACATTTGATCATGACAAAATCCTTATTAAAATTCTTCTATTTTAGGCAGGTGTGGTGGTGCCCTCCTGTAATCCCTGCAGCTTGGGAGGCTGAGGAAGGAGGATCGTGAGTTCAAAGCCAGCCTCAGCAACTCAGCGAGACCCTGTCTCTAAATAAAATATTAAAAAGGGATAGGGATGTGGCTCAGTGGTTGAGCATCCCTGGTTCAATCCCTGGTATTAAAAAAAACAAAAACAAAACAAAAAAACCCAAAGACACTTCTATTTTGACTTGAGAGAGAGAGAGAGAGAGAGAGAGAGAGAGAGAGAGAGAGGAGGGTCATAAACTTATAAAACAAACTCCTTCCTCACCAGCCTCAGTTTCCTTTTTGAGGCTCACCTTTTGCCACGTCCATGGTATACGCTGGGGCAGGCGAGCTGGGCAACCGTGACGACTCCATGCGATTTCCCAACAAATCCACTACCCCTCCTGTTCCAAAAATGCTCTTTTCAGGGAGCATTTTTATGTCTGCTGATTCTCTTAGTTGAGGGTCCCCAAACTACACCCTGGGGATAAAATCCAACTCTCTACTTGTTCTTATCAAAACAGTTTTATTGGAACAGTCTGGCACTTTGTTTTTGTATTATTGGGTTTTGATCTCCAACAGCAAAGTTGAGTAATTGGGTCAGAGACCAGAGGGCCTGCAAAGCTGATGATATTTACTAGTAGGTCTTTCCCTTGCTCTAAGTTATCAAGGCCCAGGTCAAAGGAGATTGTGGAGGACAATTAAGACTTAAGTTTAAAATCACTTCTTAAAGCCCCACATTATCTTATGACTCATTTTTTAAAAATTCTCAGAATACATCCTTTAGTATTATTTTCAGAGAGACTCTGTGGGTAGTAGATTTTTATTTTTTTGTGTGTGTATCTGAAATGTCTTGAATTCTTCTTCCCTCTCCCTTGAACAAAGCTTTGGCTAGCTAACTTCATTCCACCCCACCTTTCCTGCAGAGCCTGAAAAATAAAAAAAAATAAAAATAAAAATAAAAAAAAGGAAAGGAATAAAAAGGAAAGATTCCTTGCAGCTAGAGTCTGGGTGCACACACACTTGGTTTTATCAGTGGGATGCTTGCAGGTGAGGCTTGGAAGAAGACACAAAGCTACTTTCTTCTTACCTTTGCACATTCCTGCTGCACAGAGAGAGGGGGCACTGGGAGGCAGTTCTGCAGGAGGCAGCTGCAGAGTTTTCCCATGTCTGGACACAACGCCCTGGATGTCTAGAGGCAGCTGGGGCAGTCACAGCGGAGGTCCTGGTTCCGACTCCCTGGCTCTTGCTCTGTGGATGGTGCTTTTCCCACCCCATGGAGGCCTCATGCTTCCCCTCAATTCTGATTATGGCAATGCTGGGATCCCCACAGGTGGGCCTGCATTGTTCTGAGACCCCTGTTCATGGAGTCTCAATCCAGAGTCTGTTCATCCAGCCTTCCAATGATTTAATAAGCATTTAATTCAATAAGTATTAATTTTTTTTTCTGTCAATTTGGTTTGTTTCTAGATTTGATTGTTGGCTGATATAGTGACCTAGAGTAAGTGGAACCTTTGTCCAAACCCCTCATGTACTATGAGTTAAAAAAAAAATTACATGCAATGCATGTGTTCTCTTGCAATAGTTTGGGCCTTACAAGAAAAATTAAGAAAAACATGAAATTCTTCCATTCACAATTTCTCCCAATTTTCACTCATTCATAGAAAAACAAACTTGTTTGATAAGCATTTTTGTCTTCCCCTTTGTGTGTGTGTGTGTGTGCGTGTGTGTGTGTGTGTAAGGTCTGGAGAGAGAGAGAGAGAGAGAGAGAGAGAGTGTGTGTGTGTGTGTGTGTGTGTGTGTGTGTGTGTGTGTAATATAAAGGTTTATAAGTAAATGTATGTGTTTCTGTTTTATGTAAATGGGACCATACTATACACACTTTTTCTATACTTTGTTCTTCTTATGTAATGATAAATTGTCTTAGAGATAATCTCATCATTCCATATGGGCCTACTTCATTTTTTTTTTAAATATCTGAATAGTATTTTGCAGTGAAGGTGCACCAACATTTATTTTAAAAATATGTTTGCATTAGTCTGGATTCCAGCAGAAAACAGATGGCACAATCAAAGTAGTATAACTCGTGGAAGTTTATGCAGTGACTAACTATGATTACCCGTAAAGGCAAGGCAGGTATAGGAGGAGCTTCAACAGCCAAGATGTAGCAACAGCAGAGCTGTTACCCCTAGGGTCTGAAGGCAGGAAGAAGGGAGTTTACCAAGACTTAGATTTCATTTTACATTATGAAAATACTTCCTGTAGGCTGTAGAAATTTGATCAGTTGTAACTTTGTGCCACGTGAGTAGATTTATACTACTGCACTTGAGCACTGGCTATCTCTGTGCAAAGTTAGGGAGATTCTCTTTTTTTTTCAAGTTTTGAGTGTCAGAATGGAAGGGTCTGTTAGATATTAAAATGTTCCTTCTTGGGGGGGTCTGTGATTCCAGCCCTTACCTCTTTCGTCTCTTTGAAGCATCTAGACCCATATCAATTATAATCAGAGGACAAGTGCTTCAAGCCATTTGCCACAACCGGTACAGCCAGTAACAGAAACAGTTCCAAGTAATATCCAATATTAACAGTGCCTGTGGAAACCCCCCATCACCTGAGAGAGGCCCCCACACCCATTATAGGGTGCACCCCACATACTATACTGTCTATGCAACAACTGCCTAAATGGCTAGAGTCCCTACTCAAAGACGTGTAGAGATAGTAGGTCTCTCTAGCTTGGATACAGTATGCACTTTGCTCACAGTTGCTAGTCTCAACCAAGGAAGCTTCAGGGAGATTACACTGAGGTGCCAGGCTGGAAGTAAAGTCAATATTGTACACTAAGCTGTCATGCCAAGACATGTTGTCAAGAGAAAGTTGCTTCCTAAGACAGCTGTCCCACAAAACAGTAGAGATATCCATCCAACAGATGCATAATTTTCAACACAGAAGTACAGAAGCACAGTAAAACAAGGTAATATGACATCTTCTAAAGTTCGTGACTCTCTAGTAACAGATTCCATAGAAACTGAAGTGAATGAAATACCTGATAAAGAATTCAAAAGAACAGTTTTTTTTAAAAAAAAGTCCAATGAAATCCAAGAGAATACAAACAATGATATGAAAGAAGAAAGACAATGCAGTATTTGAATATATGAGCAAGACATCGAGGAAAGAGAGATTTTTTGGGAAAAAAGCAATATCAGAAATATTGGAAGTGAAAAGCTCAGTATGAAAAATTCACTTGAAAACCTCAACAACAGACTAGATCAAGCAGAAGAAAGAATATCAGAGCTTGAAAGCAAGTCTTTACAAATATTATATTCAGACAGAAATAAAAAAAAAATTAAGGAAGAATGAAAAGAACATTCAAGATCTCTGAACACCACTAAAAGATCAAAGGTTGTCATTACGGGTGTACCCAAAGGAGAAGAAATAAATGTCAATGGTGTAGAAAACCTACTGAATGAAATGCTTCAGAAAATTTCCCAAATCTTGGGAAAGACAAGGACATCCAGGTATAGAAGGTCTTTAGAATCCTAAATAGAAAAGACCAGAAAAGAACCTCACCATGACATATTATAGGAAACTGTCAAAAGTAAAGGACAAAGAAAGAATTTTAAAATCTTCAGGAGAGAAGCATCAAGGCACAATTAAAGGCAAACCCATTATACTAACTGCTGAGGTTTCAACGGAAAAGACCAGAGGGCATGGAATTATCTATATAAAGTCCTGAAAGAAAATCACTGACAGTCAAGGTCACCCAGCAAGGCTTCTTAGATTTCTTCAGAATCTAAGAAGAAATAAAGATCATTACTATAAGCATACAGTAAGAGAATTCATGACCAATAGGCAGCCTTCTAAAAGGTACCTAAGAGAATCCAACAACAGAAGTGGAGGAAAGGTAACTACAATCATGAGAGCATGTGAAAGAATAAATCCCAAGAGAAACATAGATATGCAAATGAGAAATAGGAAATAATCAAATATTATCACTAGAGTAAAGCCTCTAACTACACTTTTCACAAAAGTTAAGAAGATGGAATCAGCCTAGGTGCGCATCAACACATGAATGGATAAAGAAAGACTGTCTATATGCATCATATAATCTTAATACTACAAGGAAGTATTATTTAGTCATAAAGAAGAATAAAATCCTACTTGCAGAAAAATAGATGGAACTGGAGGACATGATGTTAAGTGAAATAAGCCAGACATCAGACACTAGAATGGCAATGTGTAAATCAATGGAAATGTAACTGATGTAACCGATGTGATTCAGCAATTTGTATACAGGGTAATAATGGAAGTTCATAACCATTCTGAATCAAATTGTGAAACATGATATATTAAGAAAGATGTAATGTTTTGAACGACCAACAATAAAAAAAAAAAGTCAAGTATTTGCATGTTCTGTCTCATATACATGGAAACTAAAAATGAAAATAAATAAATAAATAATTGACCTGAAAGTACAAGAGAGATTTCTAGGGACTGGGAAGGGTGTAGTGAGGAAAGGCTCAGGGTGGTATAGAAGAAGGGTGGATGGTCATGATCAATTCAAGAGTATGTGGAAATAGCACAGTGAATCTCATTTATCTGCACAATGGAAATAGAAATAAGTAAAGTGAAGAAATGTTTTTTTTTTAAGTGTTTCCTCTATGTATTCCAAGACATAGCATGCATGTTGAGATGACGTGTAGCCCATTTCTCTGTTTGACCGTAAGTTCATTTTTAATTAAATGTCAAGGTTGGGACTGTGATTAGAATCAGTTTAGGTGGATTCAAGTAAAAAAATGTCAAAAATATTAGAAACCTCATTGAGAATAGAACAGAATATTTTTAGTTTTCAGTTTCATAGAGGAATCAAAACTTTGTTGTTGTTTTTCTATACTGGGGATTGAACCATGGTGCTACCACTGAGCTACATCTCCTACCCTTTTTATTTTGAGACAGGGTCTCTCTTAATTTCCCCAGGCTGACCTTGAGTTTGAAATCTTCCATCTCTGGAGTGTCTGGGATTACAGAAGTGTGTATTGTGCCCAGCTGAAGACATTTTATATTTGAAGGAAAGAATAAATTTCATGAAAGAGAGCAAAAGTAAATGTGAAACTTCTGCAAAATAAGAAGAAATGAAAAGAAAATGCCCTGAGATTCTTTCTGTTTTACCAAAACCGAATAGTATAATGAGCTTTTAAGTGGGACAATAGAGAAGTTAGATGAAACAGTATATTAAAATTTTAATTTGGAGACACTATAAAATATGAACCTGTAGAAAAAAAGTTTGAATATAAACATACCATGACACTAAGTAGATTATTTTACTAGAATATTTTACCAAGAAGAGCAGGAACAAGAAAGGATGTGTAAGACACGGTTTGCCTGTCATTTGCAACAGTATGAATGGACCTGGAAGATATTATGCCAAGTGAAATAAGCCAGTGGCAGAAGGACAAATATTACATAATTTCACTTCTATGAAGTATCTAAACATTCACTTATAAAACCTGATCATTGAACAGTGGTTACCAGGGAGTGGTGGGGGAGGAGGCGTATAGAGGGAGTTGTTCAATTGGTAGAAAGTTTGAGTTTTAGAAGATAAATGAATTCTAGAGATCTGTTGTACAGTGTAGCATTTATTGTTAACAATATGATGCACACTTAGCAGTTTGTTAAAAGGGTATATTTCAGGTTAAGCATTCTTACTACCTCTTTCAGGGAAGGGTGAGAAAAAGCATAGAGACACAAGGACATTTTTACAAGTGATAGATAATGCTTATTACTCTAATTGTAGAAATGGTGATCACAGGAGTTTGCTTATGTCCAAATTCATCAGTTGTGTATATTAAATATGTGCAGTTTTTTTGGTCTATCAATTATACCTCAATAAAGCTACAGAAAAAATGAAATAGAGAATGTCTTTTAAAAAGAGACCTATGATCTTTTTCCCCCTTATAACAGAATTGAAGAATTAGGGAATGATTTTTCTTTTATATTATAGCTAAAAATAAGTATCATATGTATCTTATCTATTCCAATATTTTAAAGTTCTGAACTCTGGAACTTTGGCAAAATGTCATTATTGTAATGTGATTAGTTTTTTTTTTTTCATTTTTATATTTGGATTCTTTTGCACATCTTGACATTCCTTGCTGAATTATCTATAGATGAGTAGTATTAATCTTCTGGTGTCATCAAATTAGATCCCAGTGAATTTTCTACCATTTCCTCAGGATGCCCCAAATTGCTATATAGCCCCAAAATGTGTCATAAGTGCCAAACTTTAAAGAATTTCTGGGAAAATTATTTTGGGGGCTTAAATTCCTTTTATAGCCATGAACTCAATACTATTGATACTTACATGAAAAACAGAACACTTCTCTTTGCAGAAACCACACCAGTTTGCTGAAAATTCAACTACCACAAGTTGACGTCCAGCATCTTTCAAAAATGTATTGAATTCATCCTGAAACCAGAACACAAATGAGGAAATGTGCTCAATCACAGAATCTCATAGAGCCTTACAGAGAATAAAATCACAGGGTTGGTGGGATGGCAAATTAGGGCAACCACTGTGGAAAACAGCATGAAGATTCCTCAAAAAACTAGGAATAGAACCACCGTATGACCCAGTTATCCCACTCCTCGGTATATAACCAAAGGATTTAAAATCAGCATACTGTAATGATGCAGCCATATCAATGTATACAGCAGCATGATTCACAATAGCTAAGTTGAGCTACGGAGCCAAACTAAGGGCCCTTCAACAGATGAATGGATAAAGAAAATACACAATGGAGTGCTACTCAGCTATGAAGAAGAATGACATTATGGGATTTGCAGGTGAATGGATGGAACTGAGACTATCATGTTAAGTGAAATAAGCCAGTTCCCAAAAGTCAAATGTTGAATGTTTTCTCTGATATGTGGAAGCTAAAACAAAATGGGGGAAACAAGAAAGAAAGAGAGAAAGAAAAAAAAAAAAAGAGGTGAGGGGAATTTCATCAAAATAGAGGAAATATCAGTTGAGTAGATGAAAGATATTGAGGAGGAAGAAGAAGGGATGGAAAAAGGGAAGAGTGGTGGAATGATCTGACTGAAGTTTTGTATGTGCATGGATACGGCCAGGTGGGTTCAGTATCAGGTGTGCCCACAGGACACTAATTTAAAAAAATAAACTGTAAATGGATTCAAGAAGGATTGGTGGAGTGGAGGGAGGGTAGAGGGAGCAGGTGGGAAGTGTTGGGGACTGAATCAGAGCAGGTTGAATTCCATGCTTTTGTGATTATGTGAAGATGGATCCTGCCTGGTGTTGTATCATAACTAAAAAGAGTTAAAACAAAACCAAACCAAACCTTAACCAAGTGCCCTACCCTACTGTTCTCAAGCCATTACAACCTTTTATAAATGAGTCAGAGGTCTGACATATTTCCCTTTGTAAGTACGTATAAATGATGAAAATTCCACAAAATATTTAGGAGTTTATTCACAAAATGAGTTGGTAATGGAAGCTGTTGTTGGTGAATTACCTCTGGAAAGAAAATGAGGTTGGCCAGAAAGAAATGAGAGTGGCTAGGTTGGAGGTGAGCTGTCATTCAAAATGGAAATCTATATTTGATTTTTTTTTAAACAAAGCCTTAAAGATTTACTAATGGTGAAATTAAAGGAAGAATTAATGTAACACCTTCAGTAATTTCTTGTTTTGTTTTGGGGGAGTGATCATGATTCATTTCTCCAAGTCAATATAGGACTCAACCCTGATTCACCTTCCTCCTCTCATGGTCTTTAATGGGCACCTGGTATCTATTCCTGGAATGTCTACCGGTGACTGAGTGATTTGCTGCTCTAGAGGGCTCTGTTCAAGATTTATTTTTCCTTTACCCATTGGAATTGCAACAATAGTAGTTTATTTACTCCGTGCTTGATGTTTTGTCCTATAATCTCCAAAAACACCCTCTGGAATATGTACTATTATCATCTCTATTTCACAGATGAGAAAGCAGAAGTTCATTAACTTTCTCCTGGTCAGCCGCTGGTGAGTGATGTAGCTGGGGTTGTTAATCTAGGTGGTTTGCCTCCAGAGCTTATTCCCTCTGCCAAAGATACAAAATCATCTCCTGAGTTCTTCATAATACAGGGCTCACTCTCTCTTCCACTGATCTTAACTGCATCCTGTGCTCATCCCTGACCAATCATTAAGATGGGGTGCCGGAAGCCATCCATTACCCATCTGAACTAAAGCGGTGTTGAAGCCATTAGGCAGGAAAGCCAGGTGTCAGGAACTGCCAGTACCAACCCCACTGGTTGGAGGATGCCTAGTTCATGTGGCGTCCTACCCAGCTCCATCACAAGTTTCAGCACAGCACAGCACCGGAGATGGGGTAACCCACAGGAGCCACACAACTTCTTGGAGATGAGTGTGGCCTGCAAAATGCCAATCAACCTGTTCACTGCAAGACCCCTGCCACACTGAGAAGCAAGCACCAAGACTCCTCCCGCTGAAACCTTATCCCTGCTTTGGATTTACTCCCTCTTAAATAAGGAATTGGGGCCCCTTTTCAATTGTTCAGTCAGGACTGGAAGGCCTATCAGGCGCTCCTCTTTTTCTATCTAATTTCTAGCTCTGTCTTTATTTCTTACTAATTATTTCAGACTTTTTATTTCCCAGGCAGCTCACACTGCCTGAGCAGGGACCTACCCTGGTGGGACACCTGGCATGAATGGGGGAGGGGATCATTAGTTGGATTAAGTCAAGCAGGGCCCATCTCCACTGGGGACGGGGTTCATACTGTTCATGTGCCTGCTCTATAGTAGTGGGGTCTTGACAATCATGTTCCCATTTGGTTTAGTTTCAAGTGGATAAAAGTGAAAACTCAAAGATGTGCTTCCTCCTATACCCAAATTCCTCTAGGAGAGAAGGATCCAACTGTGATCTAAAACACAGACAAGAAAACTTCTGGCCTTCGTAGAGCTTACATTTGAGAAGCAGACGCCAACAGTAGGATGGATAGTTAAAATAGGTAGTTTGTAATTATAGTGATGATTGCCAAGAAGAGAAAAATGAAAGAAGAAGGAAAAACAGGGGTGAACTACAAGTGTCCACCTCAAAGTCTTGTACCACCTTGAGGTCCACTCAAAGAGAAGGGACAGTTGCATAAAGATGGGAACGAGACCGTGGGCCCTCAGGAGAGGTCTCTGGGGAGGAGAGGAGGGGGCTTCTCAGGGAAGAGCAAGGCCCCAGGTTATCCTGTGAGATCCCTAGGAAATTTTTAAAATGAAGTCTCAAAAGCATTTGCCCACATGTGGTGTTTTAAAACAAATTGTTTTTTTGTAACAAAGTTACATGGCAGTGCTTTCTTTTAATCTGGTCATTGTCATTTCTGCAACCTTATGTATAGTCACATTTAGGGAAAATGTCCAAAGTCTAAATCTGAGGGTCTGGTGGCTATGGGCTCAGGAACCGTGACCTCCCCAAACCCCCACCCTATATCCTCTTCTAACATGGTCTGATTCTAATGCCCCCATTAGTAGGATTGAAGATAATGCTCATATCATCCCTTAAACAAGGTAGGCCCCTGTCTTCTCTTGTAGAGGCAAGTTTCTTCTTTATAATGATCTCTGCCTTTTACATGAATTTAGATTTATTGGGACAGTAACATTGAGAACCAAACCAATAAATGGGTTAAGGAGGGACTAGGGTTGTGGCTCAGTGGTAGAGTGCTCACCTAGCACGTGTGAGGCCCTGGGTTTGATCCTCAGCCTCAAATAGAAAAATAAAGTAAATAAAATAAAGGTATTGTGTCCAACTACAACTAAAACATAAATATTAAAAAAGTCGGAAATTAAAAAATAAATGGGCTAAGGAACTGAATAGACACTTCACAGAAGAAATACAATTAATCAACAACTATATGAAAATTTGTTCAGCATCTCTAGCAAATTACAACGATACCGAGATTCCATCTCACTCTAGTCAGAATGGCAATTATCAAGAATAGAGGCAACAATAAATGTTGGGGAAAAAGGTACACTCATACATTGCTGATGGAGCTGCAAATTGGTGCAGACAATATGGAAAGCTTTATGGAGATTTCTCAGAAAACTTGGAATGGAATCACCATTTGACCCAGCTATCCCACTCCTCAATTTATATCCAAAGGACTTAGAATCAGCATGCTATAAATATTGATGTGGCTATGTCACATCAATATAGCAGCTCAATTCACAATAGCCAAACTATGGAACTAACGTAGATGCCCCTTCAATAGATAAATGGATACAGAAAATGTGGTATTACTTAGTCTTAAAGAAGGTGAAATTACGGCATTTGCCAGTAAATAGATGGAACTGGAGAATATCATGCTAAGCGAAATAAGCCAATATCCCCCAAAACAAAGGCCAAATGTTTTCTTTGATATGCAGATGCTAATTCATAATAAGGTGGGGGGGGAGGCTAGGGAAAAATAATAGACCTACTTTGGATTAGGCAGAGGGAAGTGAAGGAAGGGGAGGGGGTAGGGATTAGGAAGAAGAGTAGAATTGATCAGATATTGTTACCCTATGGGCATATATGATTATACGACTGGTATAATTCTACCACATGTACAACCAGAAGAATGAGAAGTTACACTCCATTTATGTATAATGTGTCAAAATGCATTCTACTGACATGTATAACTAATTTGAACAAATCACACCACACACACACACACACACACACACACACACACACACACACTCCAGAAAGTTCTAAAAACAGCAACAAAAAAATCTACCTAGGAATTTTTGATACTACTGGTCATTACTATTCTCCATCCCATTCCAGAGGCATGTCTGAGGCTTCTGATCTCTTTCCTAGGATGCAAGAAAAGACATCAACCCTCTCACTTCGATAGAATTTTCCGGGTCCTACTAAAGCAGAATCCATGAAACAGGATATATTGGGAGCTGGCCAAGGTCCAGATAGAATCAGAGCAAGAAATAGGAATTGGGGAGGAAGAAAATCCTTTTTGACCAATTTGTCCCTTGGCTGCCTCTCTAGATGGGAGCGAGACAGTAGGCCCTCAGGAGAGGTCTCTGGGGAGGAGAGGAGAGGGACAACCCAAAGAGGAAGAATGGGAAACCTCCCCTTGCTCCACAGCAGAGAAAGAAAGGGGAGGTGAAGGAAATAACTCTTGTTTACCAACTTGGTTTTTAAGGTGGTCACTTCTGAACTATTTAATGAAGCCAAGTAAATACTTGCCACGCCTTTGATAACATGCACCATGATTTATATCGGAGAATTGTTGACGAAGCTCTCCTGGGGGGCTCAGGTGGATTAATATAGCTAGACTATTTGTAGGATGATGGAGCTCTCCTGTGGGCTTGGTGGATCAATATAGCTAGATTATTTGTAGGATCTTTGCTGGAATATAAGGGCAGTTTCTCTGTGACATCATTGAACATGCAGTCTCAGAACCTGGAACTTTGGCAGAGTTTGGATCTAGTTTCATTTTTATGCCACGGCTAGTTAGTTAACTTGTGGTCAGCCAAGCCTCAGCAAATGGAGGCCCTTGTTGCAGAATCAATAATGTGTCTGATTTGTTTGGGTCTTTTATCACCGATTTCCATACATCCTTTTCCCTTCTCCAACCTCCACCCTCAAATCACCAAATGAGAAGTAACTGGGGTAATAGTAAACACATAATAGATATTTTCATTTAGGATTTCAGAGGAATTCTTTTGCTGTTGAGAAAAATACTAAAGTCTTAATCCTAAAATAGGTTTCCTGAAAAAATTTATGAGTCATAGATTCCCTGACTTTGTTATTTTGCCCTATTTAGAAGGTAAAGAAACTTCATTTTTAGCACTAAATCAGAGATTGGCAAAACTTTTCTGCAAAGGGCCAGATAAGACCCTTTAGGCTTCAGGAGCCACAGATAGATTTTTTTTTTGGCATGTTCTTTGTTTTTATAACCTTTTAAAAAATCTAAAGCTATCAGCTCACACAAAAATAGTAGCAGTTTGGCAAAGCCCTGCAGTTGATGATTTGCCATTTTTCAGAATTCGGTGTCAGAAATAAACCAAATAGGGCCATAACCTATGTTCTTCAAATCTTCAGAGCAACAAGAACAACCAAAGTGTGAGAAATTGCAGATTTTGTTATAGAACAAAACTCAGCAAAGTCCTTCTTTCTATTTTATCCATATATCCAGCTCTGGGCTCTAAGTGGGTGAAGTGGCTGGCCCTGGAGGGGACTCATACTTTTTCCAGTTGTCCCCTGTCTCCACCATCTTCTGTTGCTTTGAGGACACAAAGAATTCTCAAATGGCAAGATGCCATTTTTCTTGTGAATGTTCAGCTATTTTCCTTCTACTATATATATAAAAAAATATTTGAGAAGGATGGGGGAAACACTGGGAAATGATATCTGCCAAATTATATTGTTAAATTGTGAGCATGTACAAAAATGTAACAGCAAATCCCACCATTAGGTACAACTATAATGCACCAATAAAAAACGGGGAAAAATACTAATAAAGTTTAATTTTGTTTTGCTACATATGGATTTCCAGTTTTCCCAGCACCATTTGTTGAAGACGTTATCTGTTCTCAGGAAGACATTTAGCAGTGGATGAACTCAGAATGAATTTCATTTTTGTTTTTTCTTTTTGCACTAGGAAGATGTCTACCATTTCCATATCCCTTTCCACCGTTTTTGGAAAGATGGATCAGAATTAACTCTCAGACACAACTAGTAAAATAGCAAACTTCTGCTACGTCATGGGTTTCCTCAAGTTGAGCAAGGTGGGGCCAGGACTTCTCCCTTTAGTGTTAGGGCTTGTAACTTTTCCATAAGCTGAGAAGCTTGCCCAGCCCAAGGGCAGGGAGAGTACAAACCTGAAGCTCACAGAAGACTGTTTTGTCTCAACTAGAATTAAGCACTATTAAAATCCAGAAAAATGGCTAGATTTACCAAGATTGACACTTTGCTTTTTTGTTTTGTGGAAGGAGTGCCTAGTTAGTAGGTAGGGCAAATTTCTAATCATGGAAAAATCTTCTGAGTCAACTGTTTTCTAGAAAAGAGAAATCAGTCTTTCCTTTTGCACTTGACTGGCTCCTTTGTTCCCTGACATGCACCTGCCTGCATTTTCCTAGACTCATTTCTGACCTCATTGTTGGATTCATGAAGCTCCAATATAGTCTGGGTGGAGTCTCATTTTAGAAACCAGGGCTACCTTTTTGTTTTTATTTTTTATTTTTAAAATTTAATCCAGGGAGAATCCTGCCAGTAGGCTGGGTATTTGAAGAGTTCAAAAATCGACAAGAAAAACAGGGTGTGAAGCAAAGAAGAACAGAAATAAAGGGAAGGAAGAAAATAAATCAGGTGAGAGGAAAAGGAAAGAAGGAAGGACAAAAGAAAGAAAGTGGAAAAAAGTAAAAATTATGAAAGAAGAAAGATAAGAAGGGAATTATAGCAGGCTTAAAGGTAAGACCTTCATTGTGTGGAAGTAAAGAGTGAATTCTCGTTAGTGCTCTAAGACCTTGTGCTTTAAGGTCATGGTCCCTATGCATCACCTGACAGCCTGATGCAATGCAGTGCTTGGGGCTCTTCCACCCAGAGCCACTGAGGAAGAATCAATCTGTCTTATGTGATTCCTCATATGATTCTTATGTCAGCTGATGTTTGAGCTCCAAAGATGCATATACAACAGGGAGCTATCTATGGAGCAGTGGACCAGCTGTAGCATCATTTCCTGGGAATTATGAGAAATGCAGATTCCATGGCCCCACCCCGATTCAGAACCTCTGAGGGTGACACCCACATGCTTGAACAAGCCCTCCAGGGAATTCAGTTGCATGTTCACATTTTACTGGGCTAGTTTTTTTTTTTTCTAAAAAAAAAAAAACTGGAAGAATTTATGTTTGTCAGATGTATCATGTTTTGCAGGAATAACATTCAAAATATTTAATTACCTGTGTGGCTTGAGAGCCCATCAGAGTGAACAATAGCTGTGCATCTGTTGCTCAGCTGGTTGTTCTGCCAATATCAACTCAACCGTTTATTTGCTAGATTTGGGGGAGATCCAGGGTGTCTTGGGTGAGGGATTGGGTCAGCCTCAATGAGGTGGGACAAGGGGATAGGGTGGGGAGTTGCGGGGAGAGGCTATTTATCAACCATTATATATTTCAGAAATTTAACAGCTATTGTGGTCATTCCTATGTGTATTAGCTAAACATTGGTCTTGGGATAATGATGATAAAATGTAATAGTCGTTTCTTCTTAGATACCCTGTGGTGTAATTGTCAGAACTGTAAAGTTCAGAAGTTTGTTGTCAGAAAAGAAATATGCTTATTCAAATTTAGCATATATGTTTGTAAACTTAGCACTGAAATGGGGCTTGTTAATGAAATTTATAACTCTCAGTGATTCCTTTGCTCTTAGGAAGCAAAACTCTGCTAGATCCCTGGATCAAAGTCTAATCAAGAGATGGAGCAGGAAGAAGCTCTGTTGGTTGAGAGGCCCTGGGCGCTGGTTCAGAG